GGGTCATCACCTACGCATTGCGTCAGGTGGCCATAGTGTGTCATTGTTTACAAACAAGTGTCTACCCATAAGCCTTTGTGTTCTTAACGCGAGTTGTTATCGTCGCTTGGGGCTCAATTCCCAAGCGTGCGCAGGTGACGACACTGCCGCTTTAAATTCCAGAGATTTTAGCTTAAAAGTCTTGCATCCAAATAATTGCATATTTTGAAGACTGAACATTTTAAGTGGAACTTTGCCTATGCTATGCATTATGGATGGATAGCATAGAAGAAAATGCTATTTGTCCGAATGATGTAACTATGAAATGTCTTACTTTCAGAAATCAAAAATGTGTGTTTTTATAATTCCCCCTTTTAGTTTGTAATTTGCGTTTTCCAAAATTGTTGATCAGCAGATTTTAAAAATATAGACTAGTTTTAAATGGTCAATTCCTAAATACCTTTTATTGCCTGCGAAGCATTTTCTATATCATCTTTCTTTGGTTTTCTTCCGTGTTCCACTTGAAATCCAGCTTCCCATGTTTTCAACTGTTTCTTCACTTTTGCAGCACGCTCACTGATTCCTGTAGGACTACTCATATCACACTTCGCTTCAGTTCAATCATCAAACTGAGGGTAATCGACGAATCGGCAGCGCCAATCACAGTCAACGAAGCCACTAGTTCAGATTCAGGATCAGAGGCACGACTAAAAACTATCAAAAACTGAAAGCAGTTTTCAATTATTCCGGAACATTGCGATTTTGTTCAGAAATCACTATTTCTTTTTCAATTTTAGCGCCACTGCTCCTCACCGTCGACCATGTTTGTCGAAATGCATGTTGGGAACATCGTTTTGCTTTGATAGAAAAAACAACCGAACTTACAAAATGATAAATGATGGCGCTAACGACTTTGACCATTATTCCGCCGGATCGACGATTAGTTTTTGATCTGATTGAAATTAAGATTCTATTTTAGGCTTCTTAAATTTTTTCTCATTTAAAAATAAAAAAAATCTAATATAAAATATTTAATTTCTTGTTCATATACGCTCAATACAACAAAGGCTTTCCCCTTATCTTTATAAAAATCATAAATTCCCATGGCAGTTATATCATACCAGTGCTTATTCGATCGGTCAATATAAATTCCTCGTTTCACTTTGAATTATGAAATGTATAAATATTATTAAAGATTAATGGAATGCTTTAATTGCGCTGAGAGTAATTAAATTAATTTAAAAATTATTTGTTTTATTTATTCGTAATTTTTGAAAGAGTTGGTAATAGTGAAAGCCCACAGGGTGGTGATAATGAAATAGAACAACATAAGAAGTATCCAGTAAAACAAATATATTACTAAAAAATAACAACAAATAAAGTGAAAATAAATACTCAAAAAAATACCAGATTTTAACCAGATTGATCATAGACCTACTATAAGTGTTTATTATTCGATCGTTGTATTTTAGCTTCGGATTTTAGCAACGATTATATATACATAACTGAAATGTTAGTATTATATATTGAAGGTCACAGAAATAAAATAGTTATCAAAAATATGTATGTTTCACTGTAATTGATATCAGAGTTATTAATTTAATAGATAAATTAATTTTTAGATAAAATATAATAGGTGTTGCGTACAAACAAGGTTCGCACATAACTGCCGTAGTAATATTTTTTGTTATGCCGTAGAATAAATACGAATTTTTCAATTTGACTGTGTACCGCTGTGCAACCAAAGCCGGATAAAAAAGTGCTTTGTGTTAATCTGCATTTAGCAAAGTGACAAATTCAGAATGCTCGCCCTCTATGGCCACTTAAAAAAACTTCAAACAAATCCGGTGGCGGCGCTAATCTGTTCATCAAATTTAGAGTTGTAGAGTGTAATCTGTATCCGTAGCGCTTGCCACATAATTTAAACTTGTGATATCGTTTTTCTACCAACTGTAAAAACAAATCATCTGGTTAACTCAATATAATTTGACAGTGACGTTCTGTACCGATGTACAGAAAGCGAGTCATAACAAATGCTCCAATGACTGGAACCCTACTTCGTTCATGACATGACTGGTAAACAGACTGGAATCATCACCTATTTCGTGACAGCCTATTGGTTTTAATAATCACATTTACATTGTTTCATATGATAATTCCTTTAGAACGAGTTTGTAGAATCTGAGTCCGCGTTGACGGGAATTCTCGTCGGACTACGATTTAAGAAAAACAAAATATAAAATTGCCACGACTGGGTCAGTCAACGCTTTCATCTACGTTACTGTACATTTAGATCGTTTTTCAAAGTTGAAACAAGTTTAAGATGGTATTAGAAAATATAGCTGAATAAAGTGCGACAATGTGCTATGTACACCAAACCATACACTAGATTTACATTATCAAAATGTTTCAATGAATTCATACAATTGTTCAAATAGGGGAGGATTAGGAACCAGAAGTCAAAATACCAAAATGAAATTAAAAAAATAAAAAAAAAACTCTTTGAAAAATCTTTTCATTTACAAACTTCTGCTAGAAAAATTGCACATTATATTACACAATTATGATTATACCGGTAGTATTAAGTTGAACCTAAATCTTTGTTGAAAACAAATTTTGTGTTGACAATGTGTGGGTACATTATGGCGAACTGAAAATTATAAATTACGTTCATCAATAGGTGTACTGATCAAATAAACACAAATCATTATTACACTGTAACGGCAGTTGAATGACGTCATGCATGCGATGATTACCCATGGAAAATACCTCGAAAAAGATATTGATATCCCTAAAGGCTTGTATTGTATTTCGATGTGGACAAGGAATTACACGTAAAACACGCCTTATAATTGCCATATGTTTTAATTTGAAAAAATAAAAAATATATCCATATACAACGAAAATACAATCGTCTAAGAAACCGTCTCGCACTTTAGAAAATAGAATAATATAATATGATGCCACGCATGTACAACGTCCAAGAACATGTACGAGGATTATCTACACCATTCTATAGACCGCGCCCTCTAGCGACAAATGGGTGTAAGCGATTCTGCTCGCCGCGTCGATATTTTTCTGATCTGTCGGTGCAAAATATGTACAGTGAATTACTATATTTTGGAATTTCTTTGCTTTTACCCATTTACGTCATTTTCACGTCACTGAAATGCGTTGTCGCAAAAGCGCGCGCGCCTCATAGTGAAGATCCATTGCTCACATCTGGGGACGTCAACAGGTTTGATTCATGTTCATTTTGGTGATATTTAACCCATTAATAAGTTAACTTGGACAGCGATTTCAGTGGCGGCGGCAAATTTTTAAAGGAGGGGCATGCCCAGGACTCTCTAGTAAGGTCGCGCACTCGGCTCAAGGTCGGTGAGCAGATCTCCCCCCCCCCCCGCCCTGCAAAATTTCGTGCCGCGGCGCTGCCTCTGAATTTCATGAAGTGTAACACATATTATAGATAATAACTGGTTCCCACTAGGTTTTATCTACAATGTTTCAACCCTGAATGAGCACGCTAGTATGGGCACGTTATACCTGAACCAGCGCAGTGCAGCATCCAAACAGCTCATCATAAAATAATACAGCATTGTACTAGTATATGTTTTTGTCAAACCTATTTAGATTTGTATCTGTTCTGTTATATTAATTACAATGACCTAATATGTTTTGTCACATATACACACCGTGTAGCGATAAATATGTATTATTATAGTCGCTACTGCGTCCTGGGAAACAATACGTTCTAAAATTAGGACCCCGAATTTAGGACCCCGAATATAAAACGTTTCCACACCAACCTTTCGCTAATCGGACACTAAAAATACCACGTATTGCAGTTACTATGGAACGTTCTATATTTCATGGTAATATTGAGAATGTTCATTTCATCAAATGCGGTACCCTTTGTGATTTGATTACGAGCTCCATTGGTAGCCCATGTGTTCGCAACAAGAAGGGATGTGCGCATGCCCGTATGTCTAAAGTTTGAAGAGAGGGACAACTGTTCGTAAAAGTACTGAAGCTTGTCGCGGCGCCTGCGGGGAAAAGAGAACTACTCCACATAAAAAGAAAAAAAAGAAAGAAAAAAACTAACATCGCAACACATGAGTGCTATTTTCTCACCAAAACCGAGAAGTTACACAATGATTTTCACAAAGGTTTGAAATAACGCTTACGCAACGACGGCTAATTTCCCGAGATACACTAACTTCCCTAGAAACGCATAAAGAAAAATACTGAAAATATATTTTCTCGTGTTTGTTTTGCGGTTTAAACACACTTTCCTTCTGCTTGGACAGGTTTCTCTAAACTATATTGGGACGTGGGATCCGTCGCATTCGCTCTAGCGGCCAACTAGTAAATTGATTGCTACTGCATTGTCACTTTCACCTTGATACTTACACCGCCCGTGTAAATATGTTTATGATTGTTACATTGTTTCCATTCTTATTATGATATCACACTCCCTGCGTTGCTTTGGTGACGTGAGTAAACACGATACACCATTTAGACAACACCTAGCTGTTAACCGTACCACAATGTCGGATGTCTTTGTTTCAATCGTCCCTTTCTTTCTTCGGCCGAGCTGTTTTCAAAAGAGTTCTTAACATAGCAACGCTTCAGTTGATGTTTCTCATGGATCCCTTGGGTTAAGGCTTAACAAGTCTTCGTTTCACCTCTTGGCGTTTGTCCAGGACTTCATAAACAAAGCCAATAAACATTTATTTTGTTTGTTTACACCTTACAGACGGCAATTGCAATGCATCATTAGTAAATCGCAAGGACTGCAATTTGATTTATGCTGAACTCGCCACCCCGGTTAACGCCCATTTCGACAAGGCCTTTATTCTACGAGCAACCTTCTTAGGTGTATGTATTGTCTTTATAAAAAATATCAACATAAATTACACAAAAACAAGTCTGAACCTGCGTAGTTATTGTTTTCTTCGCCCTTTGTTCTGTTTAGAAGAATTCTGAGTTCAAACGCTGTCTATCGCACTCTGATATATTGTGTTTATCGACTTTAATCTCAGACGAAATCTTTTATTGACTATAAATTAGACGTATCGTCCTTTCTTCTGCGCACCCCATCTATCACATCTTTCTCCGTGTTGCATGATTCGCACACAGTGATTTTATTCACAACGATATACAACAAGTGTCAGCGTATGGTTTAACCATAGTGAACTCAGCCCCGTTTATAAGTAATAGTACGAGTTGCTAACATACTTCACGGAATGGTGAGAAAGTCGTGGTCGGCTGGTGACGGTTGCCATGGCACATCTAGTTGCATACATGCACTAACAATGTGCCCTCTGTCCTGGCGGGAAGCCGCAACAGGTTGTAGTTATAAACCTCCCAACTATTTGTATCTCGATACTCAATGTGGGAACTAAATTAATAGTTTGAGCAAACTTCTAAACAATATTCGCGCAAAAGTTTTCAAACAGACTTCATGTTCTGTTGGCTCCAAAATTAAGGTTCATATTCAGAAATAATGAGAAATTTAAGAAAAAAAGTGCAGACAAATTTGGGCAAGAAAGTTTGGTGGTGAAAAAGTTAAACGGATCTGCTGGGGCATTACAATATTTCCCAAACCATCAGGGCTGCATATCATCGTTGTCTATTGGAAGAACCCTAGTATAGCGTGTGATACCCACTCTAAACAAATACTAGTAAACAAAATAATTATCCCCAAACAAAAAAGTGCTTATGAGAGGGTAAATTAGCATGTATTGAACCTTGAACAGTATCGTAGAAAAGAACTAATGTTTCGTAACACCATGGAGGTGGTAACACCAAGG